GATGAACTGTTTTAAAATAAAAATAAGACAGCATTTTTACTACGCAAATCCAAGAACAAGGCAACCCAGGCCACTTTTCCATATGCAAGATGCTACTCAAAAGCAAAAGAAAGCCAGCAGAAAAAGGGAAATCAAGGAAACTCCAATAAGAAGTACCTATGACAAGTGACTCTTTAGAGGGCTGTTGGCACTTATTGTCACTGGTGATATAAATTTACATGTACTCTTCTTAGGACAGTAAATTAGAGCAGTTTCAACACAAGAAAGACAGGTTTTTGAGGCAACCTCCCAGTGGAACAAGTAACCTAATTAGTTTAAAGATGAAGCCTGGTAGAGTTATGAATGGTATAGGCCACAATTTCCCACAAGGAACTGGATTTAACCACACAAGAATCCCTGTTTGGTCCTGCATTGCTAAGTGAGAGGGGACCAATTTCTTATGTGTCTGTAGGTGCTTTGGCTGTTATTCAAGCCTTACACAAAAGTCACAGAACAGTAACAATACAGGTTTATACAAGGCTGGCTGAGTGGCAAGGCCCTTCTGGGAAGCTGGGCAGGGATAGTTCTGAACTGGAAAAAATTACTCATCTTTCTAATGATCTTTAAGCTCTGACTGTGTAGTCCTCTACCATCATTCCCAGACCACTTTTAAGCCATAAACCATCTGTAAATCACATTGTTGCTCAGTAGTAATACTAAACCTGCACATTAAGGTGTCATTTCTGCAAATTTTATAAATCCTTGGGAGGTGCATAATGATCTATTTAAACAGCAATGCCACAGACAGTACAACAAGGTATTAGACATTTTGAAGTCATATACAACATACTGACTTAGTAGAATTTACGAGGTTTATCAACCACAAAAATTATCCTTAATATCAACCTGTACAGAAAACATCATAAATGAAACTTTACTAGAAGTGTAACCTACTGAAGAGTCTCTCAAGTCATATATCCACTTCCAAATATTTATCACATGTGAAGAAAACACATGTTATAAACATGTGAAGCACTAATATCTCTATAGACTGACATACTCAAGCTTCATCCAGGCTTTTCAAGCCCTGGGTCTTGGCTTTGTTGTTTTTTGTTAGAATTCCCACTCTGAACCATGTTTCTGTATTGACTAGTCATTTAAAACAGCACGTCTTTCTAGTGTCTTACACCCTCATCTCTGGAGAGCAGGGACATTTCAGACAGAACTCTGCAAATGGACTCTGGAGGAAGTACAGTAGATAATTCACTTCATTTGTTAATTCTACAACTTGCTGCTAGGTGCCAAATTCATCTTAAGCAGTTTGGGTCAAGATTTTCTGATTGACAATTAGGTTGGCATAATCAGAAACTACAAATACAGAATGAACCTCAATCATAATAAGCTCAACAAAATGTTACAATCCAGCCCTAAGAGCTTTTTCTCAGTAATTTACATGTACATCCCTTTACATTTAGTCACCTTAAATAAGCAGTAACTCTTAAAATGTTTCACATACTGAGAGAAAATATGAGAAAGCTGAAATATACTTCCTTTCCTGTCCTATGGGACTCCAGATGTTATTTATGAATGTGAATTTATGTGGTACTTCTGTTCTCTAAGTGTTATGACCCATTCATGGTTTACTGTCGGTGACCCTACTGTGCTGCACATTAATTCTGACTGTAAGATATTAACATTATCTTTAACCTTGAAAGTGCTTGCTTAAGCAGTATCAAACTTTTCACCATGTTAGAGACTTTCTGTTCATAGCAGGAGACATTTGATTCCCTGCAAACAAATAATCAGCATAAATTAATCTTTTAGGCACTAATGTAATTTTACTTTTGTTAATTCTTACTGACTTCCCACTAACCTGGAAAAACTGAAGTGGGGGGTCCACAGAGGGGTGGAAATACAGCTGGGAGAACAATATCTGGAATTGCTTTAGCTGGTATGCAATTCCCAAAACACCACACCACTGTTTCTGCACTGAAATTCTTATGACTAGAAAAACAGTAGGGAAAACCATGTCACTGTATGAAAAAAAAAAACTACTTTTGGTAGAAGGGGGTAAAATTGCATCATGAAAAGATATAGTTGGGCCTGAACAAATTCACCATTTTGCCCAGAGGGTGAAGTGCAGTCATTTACACTGAATAGGAGGGTTGGCTGGCAGAAACAGCACACTACACTGGATTAGAATTTCACATACTTGCAAAATTATCAGTTTCCCTAAGTGCAAATGGCTACTCTTCTATAGCTCTGCTTTTAATATTCTTGATCACCCTCAGTCCAGAGACCAGAAATGCCAAGGTCAAGAACAAGCCCCCAATTTCAGGGTCAAAAGTTCAGAATGACCTTTCAGAAAAATTGGCATCTTTACAGTAGGCCCTCAGGGTCTCCTGGACTTACACTGCTTTTTCACAAGGAACCACTTGGTAATGCTTCAGATTAACAGGCCAAATTACAGCTCTATTAAATCAGATATTACAGGTGGAAATGCTTTCTTCTTACTAACACTCCTAAATCTTCAAAAATTAAACCAAGAGAAAGTTAAATCAAGAATGTTTGACTACATAATTTTTCTCACTTAGTTGCAGAAAATTAATTTGCATGCATTAATACTAACCTAAAACATTCTGCATCTATTGGAGCCTACTCAGAAGGCAGCTGACATTCCAAAGGTGCACATCTGTAGCTTGCTCATAGAGTCACAGAAGGCTTTGGGTTGGAAGAGTCATCAAGGATCATCTCATTCCCTCTGCCATGGGCAGGGCCACCTCCCACTAGACCAGGCTGTTCATGATCAACACTCCACAATGTTACAGCAGTAATGTTCATCATAATCCAAATTCCCTCAACAAAATTCCATAGAACACTATAGCTGCAATTTTAAATAATCTCATATTATGGTCAGCTCATCAGCTCTTCCTGTAGAAACACCTCTAAACCTACTTAAGCATAATAAACCATTTTGAGAACATTACTGTTAAATTGTTCCCTGCAGTGGAGTGAGCTGATAATTCATTTTTCCTTATTCAAAGCTCAGCTGACTAATACCTCAATTATTTTCCTTTTGTCTTTGCCTTTATTTCATGTAAGAGAGTGAATTAGCCATGGTCAACATGAAAAACAGTCTAGTGGAGGTGTCCTGTCCCCCTGGCAGGGGGGTTGGAAAAAGAATTTAAGGCCTTTTCCAGCCCAACCCATTTTATCCTTCTCTTAGGCTATAATAGCCCATCTATTCTTTTTCAGGGTGACTTTGCTGATATTCCACTCTTACCCTGCCTTTAGCCGAGACTGCCAAGTAAGACCCATGAGTCTGTAGTTTTCCTATGTAATTGTTTTTCCTTTTAAATACTGGTCCTGTTTTACATAGTCTCTAATTACAAGGTGACACTCCTACATTAAAGTATTTGCTGCCTCACTTGCACATTGTATCTCAGAACCTGGGGGGAATGACCAAGTCTCAAAGCAGACCGCTTTGCATTTTGGCTACACAAATCCAACATCCTCAGTCCCATCCCCAGCATCTGCTACAGAGCAGAATTAGGAAAAGCCACCAACTTTCAAACAGCCACAGGTAATGGAGGAAACATTGCTTTTGTCAAGGTTTACCTGGAATTACCAGCATTTCACCATCTTGAGCTTGTCTTGGAAAGCTTCTAGTCAGCTTCACACAGCTCCGTCACTGAGGTGTCTGCAGTAGGGAGCCCAGTCCTGGGAGTATCCCTTTAAATATTCCATCTACACAAACAAAAGATCCTGTGCTCTAATCTGCCTTTCACAGTTCAGGACACCATTTTGTTTGCATCAATTTGCTCATGAAAACTGGATTACAGCCCTGGCATTTCCTGCCTTTTGCAGAAGCTGTGCAGGAATATAAGGATGTTCTGAGTCAGCACAGAGCACAGTGGCTGGCAGCAGCACACACAAGATGAGGGGAGTGTTTGTTTATGGAAGTACATTTTATTTTAGTGTAAATGCATTATCAAATTTAAGGGTTTTCATTTGAGAAAGACATCATTGTCAAGCCTTATGTGCTTTTAGGCTGCACCTCTGTCAGACTGCACTGCTGCATTAATTCCAAGTCATAACCAATTAGCACTTTAAATGTACCTTCATTTCACACACAACCTTTTTGACCAAGCTCAACACAACCCCATTAGCAGAAGGGGTTGTAAAGCAGAATGAACTTCAAAACACCCTCACAGACTTACCCTGAGCTTTGCCCTGCCAAAGTGCCTCCTTTGCAGGGTAGAAGTGAAAGATCAATTACACACAATTACAGCTATGCCAGTCAGAGACATAATTTCAGATGTGTCAGGGATAAGCACACTGGTTGCCTGTACTGGTTCCAGAGGACTGATTACCTCTAAGCCTGGCTGGCCTGGGAGCTAAAAGGTGTGGCAAGGTAGGGCAATTCACAGCAACACATACTGAAAGAAAAAAGCTATCACAGATGTGCTCATTTAATGCAAGTGTTGAAGTAGTTTTGATCAGCTGAAAGAATCAAATCAGACACATAGAACCTGCAAAGATTCAGTTCCAGAAGACACGGTGAGGGAGAAAAACAGCAGTCACCAAACAAGCCCCGTGTATGCCTTTGCAGAATGATTTGTGGGGAGCTCAGGACAAACTTCAGATCAAACACCAGCCATCATAAGAAAAACAGTATCAATATCTAACAATGTGGCAGGTTCAAGGACTTGGTTATAACCCTCACATGCAATTAACTCTGAGCATTTTAAGGAATTATGGCACTTCAGTTTTGTCAGCAGTGGCTTGTGCTAGCTAGCACTTCAAATGGACATGAGTTTTGTGGTGACCAGCTCCTGGATCTCAGTTGACAGGAGCACTTGATTCAGTAGAGGTAACTGTGTTCAAATCCGACTGCACCAATACATACTGCTAGTTTAAGTCATCCATGAATCCCTCCAAAAAGGAAATATTAAAGGTACAATACACACGCCTTATTTTCTGCTACTATAAAAGGGCACAAGATGAAATGATTCACTGGGTTAATGAATTTTCCATTTTTAATCACAACTGTGCAGGCACTGGTATGTATCAATAATAGAAAAATTAAAAGGTTAAAAACAGTGTACAGTTTAGCACAGCAGGCAACATTTGAATAGAAGCACATAATTTTAATTTGCTTTGAAGTTTAAAGCAATCCAAACAAAAAGTTAACTATATAAATACAGAGTAAATGCACATAGTTTACAGCCAAATACATGTATGCAAGAATAATAGCAAACCTCACATGAGTACTGAAGTATTCTCAATCTGTCATCTGTGAGTGTTTAGCTATGACTCTGAAAGCATAGTTATGTTCACATATGCAGGGTAGGCAGACTCTTAAATAGAAGAACTGAAAAAACTTACATAACTCAGTCTTAACAGACAGGAAGTTGAAAAAAGTAGTACATTTACCTAGGCACACTTCAGCATTCAGCTTGTTTCCCAAATCTGAACAGTTTAAACAGGAAGCAACATTTATAAAGGCTCTCCACTCTTGTCTCTGGAAGCATTCTCTTATGATGTTGCAGTCTGAGGAATGTTACAGATGTCATAAGAAAAAACAGACTAGCAGAAACTGTCAATAACAAACAAACAATCCACTGTCATTAACACCTCAATCAGCAAGGGATGATGCAGAGTGCATTATGTAAACAAAGAAAGGGGCAGTGTTAATGGATAAATAGACAGGCGATGTCTCAGTTACAACTAAAACAACCAAATTCCACAGCTCCCTCGTGTAAGCCCACTTCCAACCACGCAGAGCAGAAAGTGGGCCAGACACAGCGGCTCTCCCCGTGCCCCACTCGCCTGTTGCCGCCCAGCCCTGCAGGGCTCGGAGGGGCTCAGGGACGGCATTCCCGGGCCCAGTTTCCCATGGCTTTCCCTGGCGGGACTCCCGCGGGGGCAGCGCCACCTGCCGGCCCCAAACCCGCCGCGCACCGGCCTCGGCTCCCAGCGCAGCCACGGAAATAGGAACTAATTCATTGCTTCGAGTTCTTCACACATCCTTTCCTCTAGCACACACAAGTGGGACATAAATACATGACATCCAAATACAAATCAAGATGACCACATTTAAATGCACCGCTTTCAGCTCTGTAGTTAAAGATATTATTGAATGAAGCATCTTGTTATTCTCCTTGAGTTTTTATAATAAATATCAAGAAAACAACATAAATAAAGATCTTTGGGAAATACATCAGAGGTAATTTTGCAAGAACTTGTAGTTTAAAAATAATGAAAAAATCCCAATAAATTTTGGGGTAACGTTTGGTTATGCAAAGGAAGCCAAAATGATCACCCCTGAAGTTTAAAAGAAAGCCTTTTAAATAGGTGGAGTAATAAGCTGATTGTCTGCTTTTAGCTATTATCTCCCATATTCAAATGTACTTGTTAACGTGTCCTACTTATGAGCTCCAGGGGCTCTGCTCTTCCCCAGAGAAGGCACACACAAAGTTCCCAGGGAATACCCAGGAATGGGAGACAAACAGGGGACAATGTGTCCAAACAGAGGAGAGAAACTCTCATGAAGCCTAGGCTACTCCAAGTGTTCACTGTATTCATGAACTTCAAAGCCGAGTAAGGTCTTTGCCAATTTAAGTTTTGGCTATGACTGAATACTCTAGATTACCTGAAAGTGACCCACTTTCTACCTCACAAAAATTACAGTAAGTCACTGTTCCTGCATTTATTTACCTGAACAAAAGCTACACATCAAGGCTTAGGTCAGTCATAAATACTCCAGGCTTTTCCTAGAGAGATCACTAGAAACAACCCACTTTAAAACACATTTAAGCACTCCTTTCACTTCTTTGAGACAATCAAGTTTACTGTGGTCACCCCTCAGACCATGCTATGTCTTTAAAAAAGGAACATTTTCCAAGCATGAAGTCAATACAGCACTGCAAGGTCGATATACTTACTGTAGGTAGCTTTTAGAGGATGACAAATTAATACAGAAAATTACATGAAATACTCAAATACTTTGACACTGTGTGGAGAACATGACAAGGGTCAAAATAAAGGACAGCAAATGAGAAAAACACAGACTGATTGTTCTGCAAACTTTGAGATTTTATATAGACCTACAGAACTACTGTCACAGAGATGCTATGGATTTACAGCATAAACTCCTGCACAGCTTACACAGAAATCAAACCAGCTGCTTTGTTTAAAACCAAACTGCATGTTTCAAACATGGTTTGATTCCAGATAATCAGTAAGAGGAAGAAAAGTCATAAGCCCTAAGAAGGCCACAAAGTGCATGAGAAGTCATTCTTAAAATAAAGCCATTGCACATGATGCACAGTTCAAGTGTACTGAAGTACCACACTGGAAGAGCTGAGAGCACATTTCTGTCCATGCCAGTGTAGCAGTATTTATATGGTGGAGAAAGCTATTGACCTCAATTTATAAATTATCATCTTCCTCACAAGGATAATGGATGCAGACTGAGAAGATACCAGTCTGGAAAGCTGTAAAACTTCCTGTAACATTAAACTGCTTGACACTCCAGTTGTATGATTTTGGAAAAATCTGTAAATTATGATGGAATAAACCAGCTAAGCCTCACTGCTGAATAAAAGGCATTATTTTGCAATTGGCTTACAGAACAAAACCAATGCCTGAATAATCAGACAATGTGGAGGACAACATTATAGCTCAGTACACAGGCTCAAGATAACAGAAGTGATAAAGCAATTATCAGTGGGAATGCTTTCAAGAAAATATCATTTACAGTTTCTCCATCCTTCTGCACAGAGCCTGTCTGCACTGACAGGATCTATCATAACTTCAACTGGTTTCTGCTTTCTGTTTACTCTAGCCACAGTGATATGTGTTCTCCCCCAGTACTCCCATATAAATACTGGTAATCCAAGGCAGGATTTGCCAGATATTTAAGGGTAATACAGCTTGTGCTTAGGCAGCATGAAACTATCTGAGTGAATCCTGTCTTCACAAATGGGAGGCTGGACTAGTTGAGATTTCTCATCACAAATCTTAAAAAGGCTATAAAGTAGCATTCAGCAACTTCTTCCTTAAACAGGTTGGCAAGGAAAACTGATGATACAGGACAATGTTTCATATGCCTCTCTTACTTAAGAAAAGTTCCAGAAAAGAAGGAAGATGATGCAGCAGGACCAGAAGTCCACATACACCAACATTAACAGACTGATAACCTGAGGAACTGAACACTCAGACCCTCTCTCACTAACCTACAACACTGCTCAAATGTCAAGGGAAAAAAAAACCAAAAACAATCAAAACCAAAAAGCTACAACAGGTATCACCTTTTGTAGTGAAGTAATAACTGTTCTGGGTCCCTGCACCATATTTTTTCTTGAGGTAGCAATATGGAAAACGTTACACACTTACCACTACCTCAGTCTCTTTATGAATCTTCAGAGCAACTACACAGAAGTTTCAGGTATAGAAAGCTATTAAAGTACTGTCTTGCCCATTCCTCCAACAGGTTACTGTGCAGTAAAACAGAACAAAAATTATGTAGTTGAGAGCAATCACGAAGAGGTAATGGACTGCCCAGAACCATATTTCATGTCCCTTCCCTCACCCATCAGGTCTCTGAAGATGACTCAATGGCTTTGTCTAGATTAACAGATGAAAAGAGTAATTCTGAATTAAGAGATGTATGAAGGCATTCCCTAAGGGGCAGTTCCCATTTGTCACATTGACATGAGACCAACACAATAAAGGCAGCAAAATTATTCAGAGTTGCCCACAATCAACCTTCTGTTTTATCCACAGCTGCTTCTTCCTGATACAACGTTCCTTTTGCCCACCACATTGGCATTGACATTCAGTGGTCCACTCCAGTCTTTCTATCTTCCACCTTCTTCCACTTTGTCACACTGCTATCCATCAAGTAAGTAGACTACAACTTCATAGGTGGACATCATGATAGCTGTGTTTGGAATTTGTCTGATCAGGTGTGTAGTTAAACCTCGGTAGAGGGAGCCATACCCTTCTTCTCGCACAAGCAAAGAGAGTGTCTGGAAGAAAGATCTGTATTTTGTTCCCTCTTCTCTTAGTCTTGTTCGTACAACCTCTGTACAAAGAAAATCAGTGGAAAAAAAAAGAAAAATTGGTTACATTCACCACTTTTCATTATTTTTCCCAGCAACTGATCAGGGATTTTTACACAAAAATACCCCTCCCCAAGTTCCCAATCTCACAACTCCTTTTTAAAAAAAGGAGGAGGAAGACAACCAGAGTATCAAACCAAATATGTGTAAGAGGAGAGCAAGTATTAGGTATTTGACTGAACAAGGCAAGTTGATTTGCTTAGCTACAATCCAGAAGAGGACTGTTGCTTGGGCTTACATTTTAGCTCAGAAGTTGACATTAGTTCAGTACTCAGTTCATTAACAAACAAACAAACTACTCTGCAGGAAGATCAAGTGCAACTGACACACAAACTAGACAGCCTGTTTCCTAGAAGGGGGACAAGAACTTGCTGGCACATTATGGAAAATTGCTAAGTATATGGAAAGATTCCAACTGAAAAAGCATCTCTTTGAGTAACTTGGGCCATACCCTGGCAAATCCCTTGGCAAAATAAACATTGCCTAAGAAAAGGTCATGCTGGATATCCACTGTAATGCACTTCCATTTCTGAATACTATACTCATGTTGACCTGCTAAGTCTGCTCTTTAGACAGAAAAATATTTCTTGAGAAAGTAAACCAAAGTTGGCTACAAATCTCACAGAGAAGAGTCCCTTTGATGGATCTGACTCAGGGTCTCAGCTGCACATGTCCCACTTACCATGGGGATACGCTATTGATGTTGCACACGTTTTGGAAGTGGCAGCAGCCATCATCATTCGAACAAAGTCCGATGCTTCTTTTGCTGATTCATCCTCATTGCCCATGGCAGAAGCAGTCTTATACTCCAGTAATTTTTTCTTAATACTCTCATAAATGACGAAGTGAATAACAGTCTCAGATATGCCAGCGTAGGATGCGGACATTCCCCGGTAAAAGCCTTTAAAACCATCCAAGCGATAAACTTTGCGGACACACTCAAAAGCGCTCATTCGCTTTTCTCCACGATTCCTAAAAATGAGAAAACAAGTCCAAATATCAACTGGTGCAAACAGTGAGACTGAAAAATAATTAAACAGGTTTGTAGTGATGAGAAGACACAGAAAATACCCAACACTGATTCTGAGGGGCTCCAAGGGGCTCCAGTCTCAAAGGCCTTGAGCACTAAACACAGGTAAAGCACTACGCAGAATCCAAGCCAAACTTCACACAGTGACTAAAGAAAAAGTATCACAGAAAAACATTGAGCAGCTTTAGGCCTCCCCAGCTCTCATGCAATAAAGGACTAAACTGCTTGGAAACAGACTCCCAAATGGGCTATCCATGTCAGTGATTCATGAGAAAAATGACCATTTCCTTAGGCGTAATGGATTTGCCCTGATTGTTGCCTCAGTAAAGAGCTCCACAGCATTCAGTGGCTAAGAGTTAAAACAGCAGCTCTCAGCATTACAGCTCTTGGCAAACAACTGGCACAGCAACCAGTGTGACACTGGGACCTGTTACTTGATTGAACTAAGCCACTGCTGATGTCAAGGAAAATGCTCATTAGACATACCTGTTTCAAGCAGTATTTGGCAAATGAAGTTTTATTCCCATTTTGAGCCTCACAGAATTGAGTTGTGCATACTGAAGTAGTTGGAATACTGTACACAACTATGTAAACCCATGACAACCCTGTATGAGATGTGCTTCACTACAGCTGCCAAGTGCAGGCACATGGATTGTGCCAGCAGAGGTCTCAGTGAGCAAGTCACAGAATAAAACAGATAGCCTTCTAAGGTTATGGTAACTCATGTGGACACATCATATGGCATCATACCAATCTCTCCCTATAGGTTTAAATAGATGGGAATACAGTGTTCTGTCCTCCTATTTGCATAAAATTCTACTTTCATTACTAGTTTCAAAACAAATCAGAAGTCTTTCCCTTTTTATAGGCTAGAACTATGCAAAAAACCCCCTCAGCCACAATAAAAAAAATCCTGAGGATGTTTAAAGCCTTTTTCTAAACATATCCTAGACTACCGAATCCATATTTCAGGAATGTTTAGCTCAACAGTTAAAGAGAACACATTACTGAATGAAAATGTAAGCATATGGTTGGCAGAACATGATTTCAATGAAACTATTAACCTCGTAATTTATTCCAGATTTGCTGGTCAGTCTACTGCAGTGCCTCAAGCATGTCTTGGAATGGATTAAAAAAGAGAAGTAATAGTATAATTTGTAGAGAGACCAGCAACAACTTTCCAAATCTGAAATGTTAAATGTTTAAGAATTCATTCTATTTCAGAATGCAGAACAGATTCACAACACTTGAGTACAATCCTGTCACAGCAATGAGATTTCATACTGTCACTTTACCTCGCATCAAGCTGTAACCGTGTCTTTACCAACCAAATGGGATTAGTTGTTGTGATCGCAGTAAAGCCTAAAAAATGTAAAAATAACAAAATTAGATGTGATAATATCACAAGAACAACTGCATCTAAGTTCCAAACGCACACAGTTAAGGTACAGTGGATGCAAAAACTCGGACTATACTGAGTTTCTGAAGTCCCCCTTTACTGACACTTTGTGAATCCATACAGCCAATGAGCACTTAGATTGTTTTTAATTTTACATTAATATTGAGTAAGTTTGAGTTTTAGCAAGTGATGCCCCATATAAAATAAGCCAAATTAAGTACAGTTCTCTGCCTATCTAATACCAACCCTGTTCTGACACCACAGAACAGCAATGCCAACTAGACAAGTATTAGCCAATTGGGCAAAAAAGTCAATAAGAATGCATTGCAGAGACAGCAGTAGCAATTTGAGATGCTATACAACATTGCCTCAATTTACTTTGTTACCTGAAATACAATCCGAGTTTAAAAGCATGCAGACTGAATAAATACTACTTTTGGTGCAGTTAAAAGGCATTTATTACTGTAAATTAAGAGACCTTTTAATAATGAACTATAAAGAGCAGTTATATTTGAATGCTAATCTTTTATTTAGTAGTCAAAGCAGAGATTGTTGGCTGGCCTTGGAATACTTTTACAAGCATATGAGTGTTTAAATTGTTAAAGTAAATACTATGATTTCTAACTATTCAGACAGACAGCCACTACTCAGGCTTGCATAAAGGCTAAGGGTTAAAGCTTTGATTTTCAGTCCATTAAAGAAAACAGAAGAAAAAGAAAAAAGGAAACTAAAAAGAAAAAAGGAAAAAAAGAAAAAAAAAAAGAAGTAAGAATCACTCTTACTTCTGCACAACTGTGGAGAGAGAGAGAGAGAGAAAAAGCAGAGTGAAAGGCAGCTCTGAAAAAAAAATAAAAAATAAATCATCTCAAGCTGTAACACCACACATGCACCATCAATGAGGTGTCACGTCTGCAGGAGAGAATAGGAAAAGGAAAAAGCTGGAACATGGCCAGGCAAGAGATGATAAATTTAGACACTTGCTCTCTAAGTGACACACGTGGCTGGTATATAACTACAAAGACATACTGCCCTCCTGCAAGGGGATGGACTGGGTGTGTGGGGAAGGACAGTTACCTTGTTCAGTGCATGGCTGGGGCATGGTACTTATCCAGCAACAGGCTATTGATAAGTTTGTTTATCAGATCAGTAACAGCTCACAGAAATAGATTTAGCAGAACTGGTTGCATACATGTTACTCCTGTTCAATTACAATCTAGGTTTACATTGCACACAAAGGTCTGCAATACTCAGAAATGCCAGGGGATCTTAACTGTTCTGTTTGAACTGTGCCCACCCCCAAAGCTTAAACAGGTCGTTATGGTTTATAGTATGGCCTGAAAATAAGATCAAGTTCTAAAACCAAATTAACAGATTTGGCAGTGACTAAGACTGAGCTGGTTTTCTCCAAAAGAATAAAAACAGATGGAGGCTTCTGTTCGATTTTCTGATTAAACAGATTTTTAAACTAACTCCAACTGCTTAACTAAGCAGCTTCCTGTGGTAGATAATAAAGGTTTGGAGTTTGCTTTCTTTTTTTCTGATTCACTACTCATTTTTCCTATATCTCAGTACTGATATAACCTTCATATGATGGAGTGAAATCCTAACAAGCCAAGAGTTTTATATCTCTATTCCATGGAGATAAATAATGATGTAAAAACTCAAAGCACTGGGCAACTATTCTGCCATAAGGCATGGGATGTTTTGAAAACACCACATGTGCAAAACAGGCTCCATAGCTCAAGTAGCCATAGCCTGTCTGACCTGTCACAATGTCACAGGAACTCCACTGATTCCAATAGCATTGGAGCCTGAGCTCAACTACACTGAAAGGAAACTTCATTCCTACATGTTTTTATTTCCTTACACTGTCACTAATAAAGTTTTGTTTGACTTCCAGTCAGAATCCTTCTGGCATGAAGTGCACTAGGAAAATGCACAGAACTGCAACAAAGGCTTTGAAGTAAGGTGGGGGAAAATCATTCACTTTCCCTACCAACACATCTTCCAGGAAAGACTTCTCAAAAACCCAAAATTAGTTCTTCAGTCTCTCCTAGTTCTCAATTACAAGCAAACAAAGCTAAAAAGCCTTGTCCATTCCTATTTAAGTTGCACATTTTGGAATTCTGTAACTCTTTGACTGTAACACACAGTCTTTCGCCTTCATATTCAACTCAAAGTAAGGGTGTCTGCAAACCCTGAATCTGGAACAGGTGACGTGTAGGTATGGGCACTGGCTGAATGACTGTGACTGTATTCACCCATTGCAGCAGCCTGATATTTCTAGGCTGACTGGGAAGAGTATATTGGAAATTTCCATTCAAAAGTGGTTGGCACAGGATGCAGCCCCTACTCTACTCAAAAATGTACTCGTGGGGTCACTCTAAGCATAATTTAAATGCAGCACCTCCAACAGTATGATCAGACACTCAGCAACATGGCCAGTATTTTTCCCCATGGCTGTCACAGACCTAAGTTGACAGTTCAAACCAAAGTTTTCAAATGAAAGGGCCTTCAATAATTCAGGTTTCAAGATGAGATGACTACAGGTCAATTCTTGCAGCTAAAGTAGCAAATGCAGTAAGTGAAGAAGAAAAATGAATTAAGAATTGAGTGATGCTGACACCAAGGAAAGCCCTCCAAAACATGAACCATAACATTTGGGATCCTTGAGAAGATAAAGTTTGACTTTTAAATACAGAAAATCCGTAGCAAAAAAGTGTTTATTAAAACAAACTTTAGGGGCTTTCAACAACTGCCATGAAGCTCCATCAATTGTTTCCTTTTTTCTTTTTAAAAGCCTCAATGATCTTTATAATACTTTACAATGCCTATCAAGGTGTTGCACCCTCAAGAAAGATCCCAGATTCCTGACAAGTACAGATAAATTTGGCAATACTACAAACTCCTGCAGTTTTATTTTATTGTATCCTGGTTTCCTACAGAATTATCTCAATCTACTTTTTCAGCTATCCCAGCTACTGACAGGTAAGATCCCAGGTATTCCTATTATGCATCATATTTCAAAGGACAGGGTTGGTGCTTTTTAATCTATAAGCCAATGTAATTGATACAGACATATGTGAACATGGAATGATGAATTAAAATTTAAAAGTAGTAAAATAAAAACAAACCAAAAGAGTAAACAGAAAGAGACAGCAAGGATTATACACACATATTAAAAAGGAAAAAGAAAAGAGGTCTTTGAAATAAATGTGACAACAGAGAATATCAGCTGCAGCATTTTAAAGGCAGCTCTGGAACACTGGGAAAAAAAAACAAACCCAAAATGCCTTGTTTAACCCAGTAGGGGCTTTCAGTTAGCCAGAGCCAAGTACAGTAGCAGCTCTCAGTGAAAGGTATTTCCTACCTTTCCCTGAATGGCACGGGGAAAAAAAAAAAAAAATCACTCTAAATAGAGTTAAGGAAAAGTGATGTCTTTGCACAATGCACATCATCTGAGTTCAAGCTACAAGTGTCTTCCCCTTAGGTTGTTTATTCAATAGATATCACAAACCCAATGTGTGGTTCTTACACTAGAGGCTGCAAGAGACGCTCAGTTCAGTACTCACGAGGTTTAAGTTAGTCCATATTGCTGCAGGAAGTGACCTGCGGAGGGGGAGCATGAGATGACACGATCTCACTCTTTTCACGGGAGAAATGTACAGTAAATGCCTAAAATAGACACAGGCTTTTCTGTATCATAACAACAAGCAGTGACCTCATCAGACACAAGTGTACAAATCGAATCCCAGCGGAAGGATTTGTCAATTAGTTATTGGGAAATCTAACTGTTTGCAAGTAAAAGTTTAGGAAAAAAAAAAAGAAAAATAATCAAAACAGGCCACAGATATTAAAATAGATGTGTAAAATGCACTGAGTACTGAAATTTCTGCTCATTTGCAGCAGTTCAATTTTATACCTCCATATACTTACCTATATAGCAAATTTACAAGTGTACCCTCCTCCTTCCCCATTCCCTTGAAAATATTACTCACTAAAGCTAGCCTAGTCTTGGGATAGAAAAGATGCCTTATGAAATCCAGCTTTCTAAGATGAGTGAACTAAGTATGCACTTTATTTGGTATGAATTAACTGTGTACATAGCACTAAAAACTTACAAAGTAATCTATTTCTAAGTAATAAAGTGGTCCCAATTATTTTTTAATAAATAAATATTAATAATAAAAAAATCTGCATTTGGGTTGGTTTGCCACTAAAGTTCTAGAAAAAACAGCAACAGCATACAAGGCAAAGTAGTTTTGAAGCAGATTTGCAACCGTGTTGTCTGATTGAGGCTGTGAATCATTATAAAAGCAAACAAGAAAGCCATACAAGAATCAAGTATTCTCATTCAGTTCTCTACAGCTTTTCTTCTCTGTGGTGAGAGAGGCTGAGTGCAATGAAAAGGTAGAGTTCATAGTGAATCTGAGAATTTAGCCTAACTTGGAAATGTCCAGAAATCAACTCTCTTCACACAAACAAATACTCAGTGTTGTAGCAAGCTCAGTTATATGCCGTGCCCTAGTTTGCAAAAAGAGAACCACAATGTGCTGAGGAGTAAGCAAAAAGGATTGCTGAGTACTTCTCCATGTCAACACAGATATTTTAGGTATGAAGGGGATGTGCTTTATATGCTATAAACTAGCACAGCAAGAAGACAGCATTCATTTCTGTTTGCATAAGGCATCAGTTACTAATATGTAGATACTTCACCCTCAGTAGAAGAGTATTAAAACCATAAATATATATTTTGAGAATGAAGAATTAGGCCTAAAACCACCACCAACAAAAATGCTTCAAATACTATACTTCAGCTTTTTACTCCCAAAAACACCATGTACATAAAACAATCCTTATTTAACAATGACATCAGTCTAGCCTGAGACATGTATTAGCACATGATACAAATAAACAGAATTTAAAATAGACTAAAATTCAGTATTTGCAGTACTTTCATAAAACAATGTTACAATTTTTTAATGTATTTTTACATTACATTACCATGTTTTGCAACCTACAGGAAAAGATTTGTAAGTGCAAATCCCACTTCATGCTAATTAGGTATTAAACTTTATGAAATAGAAAGGTCATATCCAAAAAAACCACCAACCCACCAAAAAACCACCAACAAAACGACAACCCTCATTTAAGACTGAATTACTCAATTCCTTACTGAAACCAATGGCAGCTGAAAAAGAAAAACACCAATACTGATTATTTTTTTGCTAATTCAGAAGTTTAATTTCCACCTCGACAATTTTGAAATCTTAGGTTCCAAAGCAAATATTGCAATGGTCTTCTGTATTAACCTGTCAACCAAATAAAAGCTCACATTTGATCTTGTCCCTGTTATTTTGCCATTTCTTTAAGGTGATTTGTATTATACAGCAATACAAACCTTGCAGGTAAAACTGTTAATAGCTGGTTTAAGTGCATTTTCTGAAATATATTAGAATTACAAAAACAAGGTTAGCACATTCCCAAGAAAGTACTGGTAATTTTAACTGCAGAGTCCTTTTCATATATCAGAATAACCAGAAAAGATAACTGAAATGTTGTTTGTCAAAGAACCTGAGAATTTCTGTACTGCACAGTGCCAAGACCTATGGTGTGAGTCTGTGCCGAGCATTCTGTTTCACTGACTGTGGTTCAGAAATACAACTGCAGAACCTGTGAAGTATGAGAAAGTTAACAGCCTCAAGAGCTGTTCAACGTTAAAACCTGCACACAAAAGTCAAAAAAGGCAAACAGCAATTAAGGCTCAGATCCATTTCCCCAGTCCACTGCAGCTGTATGTACAAATGCACAACGCAAACCTTCTGGAAGGGAAGCAGCTACAGAGCTCCATGACAAACAGCCTGAGGCTGCAAGCACTCAGGAAAAGGCACTGCAGCACATCTCCATAAAAAATGTGCTTTACAGAATGAGGGCAGGAACTTCCAAAGATGAGGAACACTCAGAATCTTGTCTGCAGCACTGAACGAGATGCACAAGTTGTCTTCAACTGAGGACTGACTTGTTTGTATCGCCCACGCTTCTCTCTGCCCCCAAATTAAGGGCATGTTTTATTCCCTTGACAAGGACCTGAACACCCTTCATCTTTTCTGATGCAATTAACTGATTAGGATGAACTCTTCATTAAATCCCCTTCCATCCCATTCCCTCTGCTGTTCACCTACAAACAAAAACACACTTCTAGATGATAAAAAACCAAACACTGCATCATCCTTGTTTGACTTGGGCAAAATAAAAGAGCTCTTCTTGCACCTTAAATATTGAAAACTGCCTCAACATTTCATGTGCCAGAGATGAACATTAGTGTCATTTAGGTAAACCTAATCTCACTTATATTTTATTCACTAAATAAAATCTCCAGGTGTCAGATTTTTAGCAAGCATTAAATAGAAAACTAATCATATTTCTTATTGTGACATCACACCTTCATCAGTCCATTCCAGATTGCTAGGACTCAGTTCTATGGACTGGTTGTAAAATTTGACAGGACTTAGAAACTTCAACAATTAAATTGTCAGAATTCATCTGCGAAGTGCCCATGGCCTTTAAAAACACCTGAACATTTGTTTTTGTGCAGGAAAGGCAATGGCAACAATAGATAAAGTGTTGCCAACCCAAGTTTTGATTTTCTTAGCAAGAGTCCATGACCATAACTCAGCTCAGTTGCCTTTAACTCCCCCTTGTTAATGATCCCAAAGCACAGAACATACAAATCAAGCAACAGATACTTGTAGCTGCTAAAATACACCAGAGCTACACTGCAGATATAAAATACGAATTATTTCTACAGAGATGGAAATACATGAAAAGTATGAAAAATCTGCTCTTCTCTGACTCTTTAGCGGTAGAGCAAACTTCTCATAGACTGGTATATGAGCAAAGGAGGGGAGAGTGTTACATATAATTTACACAAATAGCTGCAGGCACATTTCTGAAAGACAAAAATAAGTCAAACATACAAAGCCGTACCAGAAAGTGGTGGTAAAAAAACTGATTAGGAAGAATTAAACCAGAAGTCAAAGCAAACACTGTTTATAGCTTCCAGAGCAACAAGTTTTGAAAGGCTACAAGTTTTTGACAGGTTACATTTTTCATTTCACTTTCAGTTTCAAATTTACAACTGAAAAAGCAGGCATGCAGGTTTTCTAGAGAAGACTGCTCACACACACTGTTATTTATCACTTAGTGCAGTTTCATGCATATATTCACCAGAGAGCCTGTTTAATGAGAGGCCAAGGCAGATAACAACTAAAAAGACATAATTCAATTACTGAGCATGTTCTGTTTTGTTGGGGTTTTTTTTCCATATTTATTGTCACCTCTCATTTGCAGATATGGCTGTAGGATGAAGCTAAAAAGTTACAGATCCTTACCTGCCACACCAGCTGAAATCATGTGTACCTGGGTAGAATCTGGATTGAAAATACTGTTCAGCTTTTCCTTGCAATTTGAGTAAGCAGCAAAATATATTGCTCTAAAATTAGAACAAAATCCAAGTTATATTATGTTTTACATTTCAAAATCCTCAACAAGTAGTGCCATTAACTTCACTGACTGAAGAATATCTTGGGATAAAACTTCCTTCCTCAGTAAAGAGCTACTCAAGGATTAACTCTTGCAAAGTAGTGGAATTATTCTTGGAATGGAAGTGAAAAATCTAAACATGACACTTGAACTTTTTTTTCCATGCAACAGCTTCAATTACCAATTAGTGAGAGGATGAAAATAAAAGAAAGAACAAAAAGTTTCAGTATTCTTCAACATCAATAATAGAACAAACTTCTAATGGAATTAAACTCATTTCAACAGCAGGACACTTTGAAGAGTACTAACAAGTACGTGGCTTCTTAAAAACAAACAAATAAACAACATTCTTCTTACTAAAGCATTTAAGATTTAAATGTTGATAACTTGATGCTATAATTATTTATACTCTAAATGTTAGAACAGCTGTGAAGGTGTGATTCACATTTTGTTTCCAGGGTTCCGTATTTATAATAGACACTGATTTTTGTCTCTGAATATACCATGAAAAATGTTGTAAACTTGTGCTACACAAATCTCAAAGCTGGTATCCAAACAAACCTAGACAAACTCAGCATCCAACTTCAATATATTATGAAAAATGGTTGTTTTTGCTCATTAAAGCTAAAATACTTATTTTAAGCACATATAAACATCACATTTCAGGTTGTAACTCAGTTTTAAATCTACAGACACCCCTCTGCAAGAGAAAAAAAATAAATGTGTCACTTTTCCCAAGCAGAACATTAACCTCATTAGCTGTGCAAACATGTTTTTCTTTATTACAAAAAAGATAAAGTGCTTGCTTTATGGGCATAATTTCTAAAATGGAACCTGAACTCAGTTAAGTACACAGGATGTGTTATGAAATATGCTTCTCCACAGCTTATTTAAACAAAGAGCTGATGTTAAATCCACTTAGCTAGTGCTTAATTGAAATGAAGTACTGGTTGAAGACAGAATCACCCAGAAGGAAATAAAGACGTGCTTATAAATAAGGTTTACACACTACATCAAGTGGACATTTTTAGTATGGTGGATGGAAGGCAGCAAGCTAAGTATTTCACCTAGGGGAAGAACCAGAGGGAAACAGAATATTTAACATATAATTAACTGAAAAGAAATAGATTTTTTTTTTTCCAACTGAGGCTATCCTTCATAGAGGATAGTCACTTATACAATAGATCCCATTCCTGGGTAAAAATTGCTATTAAGGTGATATCAATATTGAAGATTTGATAGAACAGACTGCACTAAGAAGTGCTAATATTCCATAGGTGTAAAGAACAAAAGTGCTACTGTGTTTACTTCAGCTTTTCCAAAGAGCAGTGCTAAGTCAGTGATCAGAAAACACTTCTGATATTCCTAAATCCTTAAAAAAATTGCTAAAATAATCTAATTCCTTCATTAAGTTTTTTTCTTATTTATGCAGAGGATCTAAAGAACATTACCTCATCAGATCTCAAGTTTAGTAATATTTTTCAGAAACATCCAAATGCCTCAGACCAGAAAAGTTACGATACTTTCCAGCTGAGTATGCAGGAGATAGGAATGTTTTCTCTTCAAACAAAACAAATAAATAAACAAAAGCAGGGCACTAAGTCTAGGAAAGAATAAAACCTTTGTGGAATATATTCCCTCTGCATAAAGGCTCTTCTCTTAAACAGAGAAGAACAAAGTATGAGCCCAGAAACAACTTCAAGTATCCTTCTCCAGGCCTAAGGAATATATGACTTTTATATGGTTTTGTTTCTATACTCTTCCCATGTATTCTCCTATTTTTGGACTGAACTTCAGCTAACAGTTCTATGTCAAGATAAATTCAGACTCTGGCATAATGTGCTTCTCTCTCTGCCTGCCAGCACCAGCTGAGGAGCTGGAGTATTTGTGCTTATGCAGAGCAACAGAAAACAGCACCACCACTGCCAAGTAGATCAGATTTACATCCTCGGCCCTGCACTGCCCCAGTACCCTCTGGAGCCCTGCCCACTGCTGGATCTGCTTTCTCTGGGAGAGCTCCTAAGCCTCTCATCCTACCCACTGTCTTATCTTCTTTGAAGTTTCACAACAGCCTTCCTCCTGGAAGGGAGCACCAGGCTGAGCTTCACGAGAACTCAGGAAGGAAGACCCAGTGTTTTGAGGATACAATCATGTAATTTCTTCCTGAAGATGATGGATTAACTGAAAGCTAAGTCTACCTTTGTATTTTCCAAGACCCAAACTTGTAGTTTACATGTGCAATTCCTTAAGAATTTTTCTTTTTAACTGGACAAAACTCTGCACAAGGGATAGAACACAATAATAAATACTAATACAATAGCACATGGGATAGGAAATGCTGAGATTCATACATGGAATTAGTGTATTCCATTTATTGTGCATGGAATTGCAGTATTGTACTTACCTGGAAGGAGCAACACCAACTAAATTAGGACCCAGCCCTCTGAACAGAGAACGAGGACCTTCATTTTGCAAGATCATCCTAGGAAACAAGACAACAATACTGGAACACTCAGAGCAAAATAAGGAATGCACTAACCACCAAAACTACATCATGTGAAACACTTTCATAGTAACTGACAATAATACAGTGCTGACCACAAAAAAAAAAACCCAAATCAGTAATTTCCTAGCATCATTGTAAAAAAATTACATTATTGCTCAACATACCATGAAAACCATAAACTAAATACAGAAGACTTGAGATTTCAATACAGATTTAACATATACAGGAACACATACACATACAGATTTGTCTGTTAGGAAGTTAAAGAAAGGGTCCTTGAATCAGGGAGAAAATACTAAGCCTGCAAATGTTCTCATTCATGTAGGTTTTAGATTGTTCAGGAGGCAAAAATACTTTATTCTACACTACATTCCTTTCACCACCCATCAGCTCCCAATGTTTGTGAACTTTTTTGAGTGGGAGGGCCAGGGAGCAAAGGGCAAGAGAGGAGAGGAGAAGAGAGAGACTTCAGAAGTCCAGTTTCACTCAGTCACTGCTGTCTGAGAGCCACTCTAGAAGATGCTGCTCTACTGCCCATAACACCCAGCCAGGGACACCTTTGGCAATTCATTATTATCTCCACCTCTCAAAAAGAGAGAGCCCTCAACATGGCTTTGCATGTGTTATCCCAGTGTGATTCCACAAGACTCTGAACAGAACACTAAGTTTCATGGCAGAAGTCTGTATCTGTAAGGCTGCTTTCCTATTTGTCTTGCCTTTCTCATACCCATAAAATGCTGAAATCTACAAAAGTATTCAACTAGAAGCCCATTTTTAGCTTTATTCTTTAAGACATGGTGACTATTTTGACTATAGCAAAAGAAAGTTGAAAACTTCAGTGTGAGAAGTGACCCCTCCTAGAGGCTGGCAGGGATTTCCTCCTTTCAGTTCTGAGCTGCTGCCTGTGTACTCCTAACCAAGCACTGCTGCTGGGCTCTGGAGCCAGTGGTTTTTTGGCTTTTGACTCATTCCAGGGAAGACAATCCTTACTTGTCCATGCAAGGTAATTCACTGATAGTAACTGAGATAGGAATGTAACCCATACAGAGTCACAGCCACAGTGGAGTCCTCACCTCTCCTGCACCATGTGTACTATAAACACAGCTCAGGAAATATTGCTTGGGTGGCAGCAGGTGTAACCTGCATTTGTGGAATTTACAGGGAAGCATGGGTGCAATTGGTGAGTTTAGACTTCAAATAAGGCATTACTAGTCCTTTTGTTTTGCAATACAGATCCCATGCAGTTGTGCATTTTAGGAACAGTTGAAGACTGTTTGCAGCAGGGTACCCTGGCACAGTAAGAGTCTATGCATTAATATTCAGTTCTAGTGAAATCAGTCTGCCTCACAATCTAGATGCTAATCACATTGGTATTTTAAAAAGTATGGTAGGACATGGGAGGAGAAACAAGGACTACCTGCATCCCATTACTGGAAATTGCTCTAGCAATTACTTTAGAACCAGATTTAAAGTTAAGAATTAACTACATTCCCAGATGCTACAAAACACAACACTGTGCTTACTGATTTAGAAACACTGGCCAATGCACACAAGTAGTTCTGTATATTTCTTCTTCAAAGAGCTATGCAGGTTAATGACAAGTCAATTACTCAATAAAGCAAACTACCCTCGTATAAATGGCCATTTTGTTTGGAATTTACTATCAGAACAAACAAGTGAAAGCAATCTATAGCACTGAAGGGGATTGCAAGCCTATTCTGACTTTGTGGTTCACCGTTGCTCTGCTGCTGAGTCAAACTGAAAGTTTACCTTTGCTTTCACTAAGCAAAAATAAACCAGTGGTTCTGCAGTTACCATTGCTATTTAGGAATACTGGCATATAACATGTCCAGCAACATCCCAGCTATTTGTCCATAACAAAAGATGCCTTTGAAGTCACCTCCACTGATGCTTAAGATGCAGAAGTGATTCTATAGCAGTCAGTTCACTGAAATTCTGACATAATTTGCCTGAATAACTCTGCTTTTAGACTGAGTAATGTGAGCCTTGAGCATTGAATTTGCTATGACACAACCAAAGTCTGACAACTGAGTCAAAAAATATCTAATGAGAGTGACAAAGGAATCCAGTTTTATTTCCCCAGTAAACAGCCCTAGTACCTTAACCAAGAGTAATTATGTCCTGCACCTATGTATTTTTATTATTACTACCCATTGCCATGAAATTTGGGATTTTTTTATATTTACTGTATTTCAAGAACTTGAAACCCAGGCTTTGCATCTAAGCCCTTTGATAATGGCCTGAAAGAAAATACATCGAAGCAAAGAACAAAAGCAGAAGAGACACATTCTTGAACTACAGATAAACAGTGTGTGCAAGAGGGCAATTGTTAAAGACAAACTAATAAAACAAACAAACCCCACCAATAAAGTCCATCATGGGCTACCTCTACCTCAGAATCTGCTTCCTGGGAATAAAAAGTTATTTTCAGTTTTAGGGATGCATTTAAAGCATAGCAGGCTTCTAGAAGAGGAGCATAACAAAAACACATCTATTCAACCTGCTATTCATTGATATACATTTCTAAATGGAAAATAAATTCATAACCAAACATTCAGAAAGAAGCTGAAGCACTCTACTTCCATCAAGAGAAACCAAGCAGATCTCCTTGCCAGTCACAATCCTAGCCTTTCCTTCCCACATACCTGTTCCAAACACGTTCACCCATCAGACCATCATGAAAAGGCTCTGAACCTAAACTTTCATAAGAATGATCTTCCATTCAAGGAGCTATTTGGGTACAGCCTCCATTTAACCAAATCCTATTCTCTAACCACATTAAGTTTAAACCCTACACTTCATGTGCCAGAGGGGGCTCTCTACAAACTACTTCTTACTAATTAATTGAGAACAGAAGATAGAAGCTGCCAAGACTCAACCAACTTTCTAATGCAAAAAGCAGTAGCAGGTCCTTCCCGTAGGAAATCTCCCCTCACCCCCAAACACTGAAGGTAACTCCTCTCCCCTTAATTGGCTGAGTCCCCAGGGTGAAGTGAACCCTTCCTGTGGGCCATACAAGCAGTATAATTGTAACCTCACAACTTTCCTGCTGGCCCCTGACCTACACAAGCACTGCAAAGAGGAAAGGGAGCCCCCGTTCAGCGAGGCACTACACAAACAACACAGATCACTGCAAAAGCTGGCCTTAGCTATTTCTTACTAGCTCTAAAATAATGTTACTAGTCACACATCCACCAGAAGCTTTCAAAGGCAAAAACTGTATGAGTGGTGAAAGATGAAACAGACTAAGAAACTGAGTTAATTTTAATTCTCTCCATATTCAGTAACTCCTATGATTTGAAGAAAAAATAGTTAAAAAAAAAAGTCTTATACTAGCGCTTTTTCAGGATGAAAATGGGAGTCTGGCACTTAAGTGTTACAGTACTGCCAGTGAATTTTGAGGATGCAGTTTGGAGCTGCAAGTAGTACAAGATGTATGTGCTCTGGCAACTTTAACATACTAGCTCAAGCATGAAGGACGTTCAAAAAATTAGAAACACAGTTAAAACATGGAAACATCAAAACATGGAAAGTCATCTCCTGGTAGCATCATGACAGACATAAGAGTCTGAATCTTTTATACAGATTTTGACCTCCTTCCTCCCCAAAATGAACTCAAACCCTTGTGTCAGGTACACTCACTTCAGACAATGGAGAGGTCCAGGAGAAACTCTGGTTACTCGGTTGACGGTAGCACCACTCACAGTGTTGAGATGAACTTCAGAGATGTAGAGAGTCACAGAGGAGGACTGCAGTCGTGTTTTTACAACTTCCAGCGGACATGTCAGAATTGCACCAACAGTACCTCCACATCTGCAAAGATAAACAGAATCACCACGTTTTTAACTGGAAAGAAACTGAAGGATACATTCACATAGAATTGACATTATAGTCAACACAGTCCCACTGCAAGAAGTGAAGAACCAATGGGAACATGTGTGGCAATGACAGTTACTTGCCCTTGAAGATGAACAAACTGTTAGTTTGCAAACCTCACAACATGAAGTGAAAATTTAAACAGACAAAATGTAGTGAAGGTGCATAGTACAGGGTGTTCAAATCAGTTCTGGAAAGTAGCTCAGCAGATTAAATGTTTAACTTCTTATGGTAAATTTTACCTTTTTTTTTTAATGTTTAGCGCTCTCCTGACCACAAAAAAAGTGCCAAAAATTCTTAAGGGCAGAAAAGATTTATGCTATGCACACAGGACTACATGTAAAAACTGGTAAAATCTGTGGTGTTGCAATTTATTAACATCTTCAAAAGCCTGATTGTATTTAGGTCATTGTACTATAAAAGCAGCAATGGTCCAAGTGCTTCCCAAGCTCTGCCCACTTTAGCAAGGCAGACCAGGTACTGTAGAGCAGAACCTGCAAAGCCAGAAAAGTTCACCACCTGGCTGACCAGGTGAGGACTTGCTGGGTTTGCTTCAGTCTGTCTCTTGTTCCTGAGAGCTAACTAAGGCAAGCCATGCACAACTTGTGCTGACAGCAGTTCATGATGTCCTGGTCAACCTCAGTGCAGCCAGGAACACACTGCCCTGCACAGCTCTGCTCAGAGCCTTCTTGGGCTTCTTCAGAACTCAGTTATTAATTCCTAGCTGTGCAACTACAGCCTTGGAGGGAAAAATAGCAGATCCACAAATTCTGAATTCCAAGACAGCCTCTTGAACCTTTTCAGAGATCAGTATTCTTAACATTGCTAAAGACCCTTCTTAAAACTATGGCCAGGACACTAACTCCTTTAAAAAACAAACAAAAACTCCAACCTGAAGAGGCAAACCTAGATTTCAGTTCAGGTACTAATGCTAACTATAGCTCAATTTGAAATCCACTAACACATAAATACAATTTGTACTAAAGTCAAAGGGCCCATATTTGCTTCCCCTAATAAATATATATAGTAACATATATAACTAGAAGAAGTCAGCTATTCTTTTTCTAACACAAGAAGCTCAAACAGCCCCAAACCCTTTAATAAGCTGTAAGCCTGTTCAAGTCTTTTAAAAATGTCTTCCAAAATGAAAAGGAGAGTTCAGTCCAAATTAGGAGTACTAGCTAAGACTCAAAATATCCTATAAATTTTCATAGGAGGGTAGCCTGATGACTCTCTTCTACCACAGAATACCAAAAATATAGCACTGCATCCTACAAACCTAATCTGTTTGTATGAAGTGAACAGAGAGTAGAGCTGCCAAGCAGAAGTTTGATGTTCACTTAACACTCCATTTAAACCCAGTGACCTAGAGATATCCTATTACTAAGCCAAAAGGCATCCTGTCCGTCCCTAGCTCCAACATTAGACTGAAGTCTATTCTCTTTCAAGGTTTAATTGAGGAACGATATCGAGTTTCTCTGCCAGTGTGGAAAAAAGCGTTATCACAGAGAGATGAAAGACAGTCTTTCAATGTGTGCTGCACACATGCAGTTACAGCCTGACACAGACATTAGAGCAGCCTGCTCTGAATGAGCAATTCACCTGCTTCTAACAGCAAGTTACAAATAGACTTATTTGAAAATTAAGAGCTGCAGAAAGAGTAGGCGTGCTAATATTTATTTTAGCCAGGATTGGAAACAGTAAGTCTGTAAAGTGAAGGCTCAAGATATGAACAGCATGTGAGAAGCATAGGTAGGTCAGCTCCCAAAACAATTTGACATGAAGCTACCGAAGCTCTAAAGCTCTGAGACAGACAGAAAATTGTCTTGTGTTTCCTGCAGTTCAAAACAGACCCCACTCCATGGTAACAGGCCTGTGCAGACAATTAAGGAAGTTGTCTTTAGAGTTTATTTCCTTTACTGCAACCCCTCCATTTCTGTTCTCCTTGAGGTTATTCTCTTGAAGACTTTTCTGCATTTGATTTTGGACAGGTTACACAATAACTTCTTTTCAAGCAACAGTAATCACAAGAGAAAGCACAAGGTATGAATTATATTAATGAGATAAATGCTATGGAAGTAGGGAAGAAATGAGGACAAAAAAAACCCAACTTGACCTGCATTCTTGAACAGGGCTTGGAGTCCTCAATTGCCCCCCACTACACCAGAGCAGAAAAATTTTCTGAAGTTGAAGATTAACACTGACCTAGAGCACATGCCCTGCATGCTTCCCTGCACCACACCCAAATCACAAGGGATGCCTGGCTGCAGCAGTTCTACCAGACATTCAGGGTGGATGGGTCAGACACCCTGCACTGAGCCGTGCATTACTGGGGAAGAGGGCTGATACACAGCTACTCCATGCTTGCTGTTTTTGTCTACAGCAGGCACTGGTCAGTGACAGCCAATGTAAGAGCAGCCAGCACCATGTTCACATGCATCCTAAAGAAGCAGCAGATTCACCTGCCTCCCTTTAACAGCCTTTTCCTGCACCACATTATACCATTCTAGTAATTTCAAATAATCAGCACCCTTGGCAGTTTCTTGGCAGTTGTGCTTTTTCGGTTAGGCTTTTTTTTAAACAATTTAGGATGTCTCCACTGAACCCAAGAATATTTTCAATGTTTTCCACTAACTATTAATAGTTTGAATTAAATTTCTTCTCTATCCCCAGTCTTCAAGATCTCAAATTTCTTCTTACAGCTGAAGAAAGCTGAGAAGTTTTACAGTGCTGTGTGGTTCTGTAATATGAGTCTTGGCAAAATCCCCAATTTCTACTTCTGTCAAAGTAACACATCACTTTTCCAGCACTCAGAAAGCCCCATATAATAAGAGACAACATCTTAAACTGAAGGAAATAAATGTCTTGATATGTTGAGGAACCAGAACCTTCTCAATGCTCACAAGATCCACCGAGTTTGAATTAAACTACTAAACAAAGGCATAATCCAGTAACTACCCTGACTTGTCTACTTCACTTGACCTTTAAGATAAACATCTCAAGGCTTGACAAAAATCTGTTTATGAAAAACTGTCAATAAACAGAGCATGTGGGTAAACAAAGAAGAGAAACAATTCAAAAATATGCACTCGGTGCAAATAAGCAACTCATAAGAAGCATAGCAGCTGTTCTGTTGCAGCATCAATGACAGTGTATTTTAACTAGAAATGTACTTCCAGCCTTGCTTGTTTAACACACTACTGGGAATACCTGCAGAGACAGCTACATTTTTGTGCTCGAGTCCTGGCAGGTCATTAACAGCCAGCCACCAGCTCCAGCCTACAACAAGTGCTCTATAAATCGCCAGCAGTTTGCTGCCACCTTTCCCGCTCCCCTCCTCAATGGTTCAAATTAAGGGGAATACTTTTAGTTTGCGGTTTAACACAAATTAGGAGCTAGAACAGTTCAGAAAAATATTATTTTTAACAGCTTGAAAAATATGAGATTTCTTCTCAATAACACTGGTGGGATTTTGTAAACAACTTCAGAATTTTCTACTACTGAAAACCATTCTGGGCTTGTGTTTCTCCAGTCACGCATGTACCAGGCCCCAACAAATATGACTTGTAGGAACATTTATTAATATGTAACTTTTTCTTCAGGATTAGATGAATTTCACCAACTAGAATACGTAGGTGAACAAACACACTCCTGCTGACACAGTGTTAATGGGAAGAAACTGAAGAACAGCAAGACCTGAGACAATCCTGTTTCTGATTATTTACTGCAATTTTAAATTTTTTTTTAATTCTTTGAGATTAATTTTACAAAAACAAAAGCCATGGCTGCTTAGTGCTAGTTTCAGATTCACCTTTCACAGTATTTGTAATCACAGCCTCACAGACTTAAAGATAAACCTTGACCTTGTTATCTTGGGTCTATATCAACTCATGTATTTTACCAGCTACTTATCTTTCCTGTATGAAAATGAAAGTTCCATGCAAACACTGGCTGTCAAAAGAAACAGTAAGTAAACGGAACTCAAAATTCTGTCAAAAAAAAAAAGTATCCAAGCCACTGCAAACAGAACGCCTTTTTATCTCTTCATCAGTTACTGCAAATTCAGGTCTCAAGTCTATCAGCAGCTTCATGGAGATGCCTTACAACCAGAGTAACTTTCACAGCAACAGAGCTGCAGCTTTGGATACTACCTGTATAATATCAGTCTTCAGAAAGAATATAAGGGCTTTAGCAAATCCAGCTTTCAGAAACAGCATTCATTAATTCTGAATTTTCAGCGTTTTCCTGGTATAATACTGTTCAATTTGAGTACTAGCAGCCACAAAACCTTAATCATTTTACTCACCGATTATGTTTTTTTGCTGAAACTTAGAAACCATTAAGTTAAGCTCACATCCATAAACTACAAATACTAATCAAATGAACAGTATAAAAAGAAAATCCCCTGATGTGCTGCCACATAGAAACTTACAAGTGAAAACAGGAAAAACATCACCAGGGGATCAAGCATCACTGGGTTCCATTATCCAAAATAAACATCAACATGAACAGTGTAGCTTCTATTAGGAGCCAGGGTAAATCAATATTTACAATAACATTTGTATTAAGTAAAAACAGCTCAAAGCATTTAGAAAGAAATATGAGAAAAATACCAGTGGCACAGTTTCTCAAGTACTGACAGCAATTTTCATGCAACTTAGTAACCCCATGGAGCAAGCCACAAGCTTTAAACAAACACTCTTATTTCACACAGAATGTATTCGAATATAAAAATAACCTCAGTTTTGGACTGAAAGGCACTAACCTCCTTCTCACTTGTTCTGAAATACATCTAGGTTATGTCACGAGTGTATTTTAGGGCAGAGAGGGGCTGAGTGCTTGGCAACTCAGTTATGGCTGAAGCGACTGTTTCCTGAAAGGGCGTAAAAAAGCCACCACCCTCACAATACCTGCTATGCACTATCAACAATCATCAGAAATCAGAAAAGCCCAAGAGTCTCTTACCTTTACTTCATACATTTCAACAGTGTCTGATCTTGCTGATAATTCAAACACGTTAAATACGTTTTCTGCACCTTAACCATTTTAGCCTCTGTAGGGATTTGCTAAGAACCTCTGTCAGACAGAGTGATTACAGTTACAGACCAATTTGAGGCAGTTCTAAGATCAAGATAAATAAAGAAGCTCCTCCCTATACTTCCTCACACATCAGAAAACAGCCAAATTTCTGCAAGAAACACCAAGAGTGAAGAAAATAAGCAAACCTGAGACTATCCAACTGTGAACTTAGAAAAGCAGCTGTCCATCTCCTGACCCAAATCCCTCCTTTTGCTGAGGAAACAACACTCATGCAAGTTCACTGCTCTAGTGGAAGTTTGTATGATACACAATTACTGTGATAAGCTTTTTGGAAATGAAGAATAAATCATGAAAACCTGAACACTATTTTTGTAGCCAACACCTGAATTTTCACTGTATGGTTGCAAGCCAGTACATCCAAAACATATTCATCTTTCCTATAAGGCCAAACATTAATGTTTTTTACTGCGACTCTAACAACTAAAAAAGCAACTGTAACTTACTACTTGAACTAAAAATGTTAATCAACATCCTATATTTGAATCACATGACTTTTTAATTTAAGAATGAAGAATGTTCAACTGCATCCTTGGTTTTGAATAAAAGCACCTGAGTTTATACTACCAACATAATGTCTACAGTGACAACAGTTGACTAAGTGGGGGAGAAAGAGAGGATACACAAAAAAGCCCCATACAGCCTAGGAAGCTACAGAGAAACCCCAGGATAGCCCCATTTACATTACTAAACCAGCAATTTCATCTGTCAAAGTTTCAGTATAGAAAGCAGAAACTGGAGAATGAACTTAAACACCTTAAAAAACCCCAACAAAGAAACAAAACCCCAACATGCCAGCCGATAAGGATAACCATGTTGTCTCCATGGAGGTTCTGGTGCAACTTAAAAGCAAACCAAGCTACAAAGCTTCCTTCCTCTCAGTTTTACTGAAGACTAAAAATAACTCAGGTGATCTGTAGTGCACCATGCTTGCAAAGTCATGAGATGACCCCAAAAAACTCTTCTACTGCAAAATGTGACCAAATACGCAGTGTTAGCCTGGCTGAACTTAGGTTACAGGAAACATGTGGCTCACACTCAGCCTTTTCCTCACAGCATAACCCCTGACCCAGCTGGCCAGCACTTACCCATCGACCAGACTGCTCTGCAGTAAATAGGAATGAGCAAGCTGAGCTGGACAATCTTCATCTGGTCTCAAGTTTCAGGTTTATAAACCTGTTTCTGACATAATGCACAATTCTGCTCAGTAATCTTTCCCATGCATAGCCGCCAAGCTGAAGGGCTACAATCAGGCACCACTCACAGAATCCTTCGGGCTGGAAGGGACTCTCTGGAGACCATACTGTCTAACATCCTTGCCAAGATAGGGTCACCTGGAACAGGTAACACAGGAACATGTCCAGGTGGGTTTAGAATGTCTCCAGAGAGGGAAACCCCACAACCTCCCTGGGCAGCCTGTTGCAGTGCTCTGTCACCCTCAATATAAAGAGGTTCTTCCTCACATTGATGTGAAACTTCTTGTGTTTTAGTTTATGGCCTCTGCTCATTATCCTGTTGCTGGGCACCACTGAAAAAAGTCTGACACCTCTTTGAGATATTCATATGCATTAAAGAGGTCCCCTTTCAGTCTTTTCTCCAGACTCGACCAGAAGACAGGGCCACCTCCCTCAGTATGTTATTGTAACACAGATGCTCCAGACCCCTCATCATATTCGTAGCCCTCTACTGGACCCTTTCCAGAAGCTCCTGATCTTCCTTGAGCTCCTTCTATTGCTTTTCTGAATGCTTACAAGGATGCAAAGTCTGAAGAAAACAGTACACACTACTGCATCTTGGGCCTTCTGCTGCATAACCGATCTTCTCTTAAACAGGGTGCAACAAATCAAGGTGATGAAAAAGCCCCCATGCAGGCACTACATCAGGTGTACAATACTTCAAAGTGTGTCCTAAGTAGAGGAAGTACTGACATGTATCCAAGTCACTCACACTTGCTCAGGATTAATACACTATTTTTCCACCTCAATGCAGAAGCAGTAAGCTCATTTTTGTCCATGAGGAGCACAAAGAGAAGTCACAGCTTCAAGCTCCCTCATGGGATGCAAGGTGTGTCCTCTCACTTCTGTACAGTCATGCTCACTACCCAAATACACTATTACAATCAAGCCCATCAGGACCCCCAGCTTTCCCTTTTAGGCTGAGTGCCCTTCCTACCCTGCCCTGGAAGAACCACAGGCTTCAGACATACAGCCCATATATTTTGAAACCTAAAAACATACATTTTGAAACTTCATTAATAGCTGTGAAGGTACAAAAGTTACCTCAAGCCTAACTAAGGCTACACCTTTTATTTCTGGACATATTCTTCCCTCCCATTTCTTCTGCCTCTGTGGCTGGAGAGCTGGATGACAGTGCCAAAGCCCCGCAGGGAAGGGCAGCGCACACTGGAGCGTTACAACGCACTGCATGGATACAGCGGCCCTCGGACACGAGCGTGACCAGCGGGGCATTCCCAGCCCGCGAAGCCGACAGGCGAGTCCCGGCAGCCTCCCGTACAGCGGGGAGCCCACGCACAGCGGGCCCTGCGTGCTTCTCCACGAAAACGTCGGATAAGGGACAAACCCAGGAACGGCGATCAGAGAGCGGGGACTGGTTTTACGGGAAGCCTCCACCCCCGCCTCCCCAAGGGCCCGCGTTCCACCCGTGACACAACGCAACACCCGGGGCCGGGCCCGACCGCGCGCAGCGGGCCCGGAAGGGCCTCAGGGCACGGGGCGGGAAGCAGAGCGCGGCCCCATCTCTCCTCCTCACGGTCCCTCGGGCACAGAGCAGCGGGGCAGCTCCCCACAGCCCGACCGAGATGTCCCCAGGCAGCCGTTCCAGG